AGAGAACCCACACTGCACGGGGAGAACATGGAGACTCCACACAGAAAGATCCCGGGTGTCCACAGCAGGATGCGAACCGGTGCTAACCACCGATCCACCTTGCAGCCCCCTCTATATGTCAATAAATAAAACAGGTATTGAGTTTACTTTAAAATTTGAAAGCATGTAATGTAAATACAATAAACCAGCATCTATTTTAAAGTGCAACAATGAAAACAAACCAACATTAAAAAAAAACTTGTGTATTTAACATCACAGTCTGTATTATCCTCAAAATGTCTGCTTTGTGTCTTTTTACTGGCAAAGTATTTTTTAAGGCACATTATGAATAAAACAAACACATGAGATGGCTACATGTAAAGACAGGTAGCTTTAAATCTCATGGTTTATCCCCCTCATGGTTTATCATTCGCATATAGCAAGAAAGGTCTCTGGAAGAAACCTTTCAAATCTTAACTTTTCAGTTAGAAATCACTATTTGGGTGGAATAAACATTTACAATTATAAGTATTTGGACGTAGGGTAGTATTTAATGTGGAACACATTTTAAATAAACCTTTGAAATATATTTAAGTGGAATCCTCCTTTAAACGCAGCGGTCATCCACTGCTGTAGGTGGCGCTGTGGTGACAGCCTATCAGCGCGGGTCTCCATGTCCCGCCCCCTTTACCACCAGAGCTCTGGGTTGTAGTCCGGAAGTGGTTCGTGTAGCGACGAGTTCAGACGAGGAGCGAGTCGGCTGCTGTCAGTGTGGCTCCGTGTGTTTGTCCTCAAACATGTCGGCTAGAAACCCAGGGACGGTGCTCGGTGAGTTTAACTCCGTGTCTGTGAATCATTCTGGACTTTACTTTGTACGCAAGTCAGCCTCGTAGCATTTAATCATCAAAGCGCAGCGAAGACAGAAGTTCACTGAGACTTCTCGCAGCTTAATAATTAACATTATAGATGTAAGTGACCTGCGGAGCATCGGCACAGCACTGTACAGCTCACTGTCCACAGACACGTTATGAAAGAGCAGCTAAAGAACCACCGTGAAGCCTGTTGTTCACACAGCTTTGTGCTTCACTTCCTACCGGAGCTGTTTCACTGCAGCGTGGGTCTCTGTTGGCTGTAATTGTGTCCTCGTGTCGCCCATCACTGCGCTCAGCTGACTGCAGATGATGTGTTCACGGGTGTTTTGATTGGACTCACTCAGAGGAATAACTGGTGTAGAGAAGCACTTGGTTTTTTTCCAGAGTCACACGAGAGAAACATGTTCTGCTTCTCATAAAGGAAAGCAGGAACCAAAAGGGATCTGAAGAGAATTTAATGTTCATCTCCTGGTTCAGAGGTTCTCAGACTTCTTGAGCCACGACCCCCAAGATAATAGAAGTTTGAGTTCATAACCCCCAGTTTGAATTCTTCATATATCATGAGTAATAACTTTGTTGTTCAGGCATTAATGTTAAAAATTAATGTGTTAACTCCACAGATTAATGTCTTTACTTTAACTTTCCTTTGGATGAATGAATGAATTGAATTTATTTTCGAACAAATGAAAGGAAAAAAGAATATAAAAACCAAAGAAAAGAATTTTGAAAAGAGCATTAAAAAAAAGAGCAAAAAAGAATAATATCACATAATCAAATCATAATATTAACAAATTCAGAAAAGGAGTGGGCACAAGTATTCACTTTTAATTTTGACATACAAATTTATTTGAAAAATTCAGTCATTTTTTGTTTGTTTTATTTTATTTTATTTTATTTTTTACAATGATCCCCCCTAATATTATCATGGGACCCCCATGAGGGTCCCGACCCCCAGTTTGAGAACCACTGTCCTAGCTTTGTGTCGTCATAGTTTCGGTTTGTCTGCACATTGAAGCTGAAGGCTGTGTTTGGATGACGATATCTTCTATTTATTTATTTTATTTCCAATCAAAAATTTAAAACAAAAGTTAACATCTGATTCACAAAATCAAAGTTTCAAAGTTTGAAAAGGGTTTTGGAAGAAGTTGAACACTTATATGTACCAAAACTCCTACGACAATAACTTAAATATTGACACAACACACAACGGTAATACTCTCTCAGAATAAATCATAGTTACATTGATTTTAATAAGTCTCATTAATAGCAGCGTATCTTTTAATCATCTTCTATCACATGTTTAACTTTCCTGTTGTTTGACATGTTTTTATGTTCTCACTGCAGCTGTTCCATAACTGAACCCTCTTGCAGAAACACAGTGAAGTTCAGTGTTTGTTCTTACAGCTGGTTGTTTGAACATGTATGTTCCTCTTAGACAGAATTTACTCTCCCTCGATTGGAAAAGCTTTTGGATTCTGTAACTCTGTACACCATATGAAGAATAAATATCTCAGTAACTATTAAAGATAAAGGCCTCTCAGTTACTTTTCATCATGCCATTGATTCTGAATCTGCAGTATCGGACGAATTCAAACAATTTCTGATTATGAGTGAGTTGAAACATAAAAAAAATAATGAAGCCGTCATGAATGATCAGATATCCATTTTAGTGTGCTGAAAAGTCAACTACTAATATTTTCTAGTTGTAGTTTTCACAATATTTGCAATAGTGTCACAATAATACAGAACAAAACTGTACGCTTGAATTTTTTTTTTCTTTTAATATGAAATACTTTGCCTCAAAACAAGTGATTTATGTCGTACTTTGATGCTTGATTATGCTGATATGACAAATTGTCCAACTAAAACAAAAGATATTACGAGATAGCAGAATCCAACAACAGAGTTCTGGTGTTTTTAAAGGTTCTCCAAATAAAACTAAGAAAAGTAAGATTTTTTATAAAAGTATTTAGTTTATTTAACAGACATCACTTATTCAGTTCAGTGCATTGCCTCACTGCTTATTGGAAGAGGAACACAAAGCAAGATGATCCATTTTGATCCTGTTCAACAGTTTCCACAAAGATCATGAAAAAAATATATTAAGACTGTGTATTATTTTCTATATTCCTTCTGATTCATGGATGTCAGACCTAAACAGGATCTGCAAAGTGAGAGTGAACCCCCAGTCTGTCCTGAAGAGGGCTCAACAAATTCAAGGACAGAAGATCCCCAAGAAACAGTGGCAGGTGAGCGTTGTTTTTACCTGCAGCCAGGATATGTTGCAGCGCACTGCTTTGACATACAACACATGACCTAAATATGCATTCACATGTCTGTGCCGGTATGTGTGTCTCCGTTTGTTTAATTCCCTCTGTTCTGTGCAACTGTGACAACTCTCAAACTAATTAAAAGTGGTCACAAAATAATAGTATTCACAGTATGACCAATGTGTGATGTCTGACAGTATTTGCCACTGAATCTAAGAAAGTAGTGTCCCTCTAATGTCCACACTGGTTTCTGTGTGTGTCCTGCAGGCTGCGTGGCTGCTGAAGGCTGTAACATGCATTGACCTGACAACTCTGGCTGGAGATGACACACCGTCCAATGTCCATCGGCTCTCTATGAAAGCCATCCAGCCTGTCAGATACGACTTGCTCAAGAAGATGGACATGCACGACAAAGGTCTCCTCCTGCCGGTTCTTTTGCATACTGTTCACTGTTATGGCCACTGTGATGCTGCTGTGTTACTCGTGTGTTAAATCTGGATGAGGATTAGGACAAAAACGGACTGAGGTGTGGAGCACAGAGGTTATATTTAGAGGTTTTTAATTAATATGAAACTAACACTTAAACATACTGTAAAATGTTTTCCACTCAACCTCGTCACTCTGGATCAGGGGTGTCCAATCCTGGTCCTCGAGGGCCACAGTCCTGCATGTTTTAGATGTTTCCTTCTTCCAACACACCTGATTCAAATGATCAGCTCATCATCAAGCTCTGCAGAAACCTGATAACGATCCTGATCATTTGAATCATGTGTGTTGGAAGAAGGAAACATCTAAAACATGCAGGACTGTGGCCCTCAAGGACCAGGATTGGACACCCCTGCTCTAGATCCTGTCTCAGTTTTCTTGTATGTTGAGATACTTATTCCTGGAGAGTCTCTCATCCTCATTAATTCATATAAATCAGCTGCATTTTGTAGCTATTACAGGAAGTGCAGAAAGAATGAAACAGTCAAATATATTTTTACATTTGCAAAGAACTGGCAAATACACTGCACTCATAAAGAAAAAAATTAGCAGGTAACGCCCCGATGACGATCACTTTTATTATTGATTAATTTTCTGCCAATTGATCATAACTCATTTTGTATTTTTTGGGTCTATTAGATATAAAAAAATGGTCCAACATAGTGATGTCACTTCTCCTGAGTCTGAGCTGACATGTGACGTCGTTATTTTGTTGTTATAAAATGACTTTCAGTTTGAAATTGTTGCCATTTAATCTTCTTTTCATTGATTAACTTCATGCAAAATGCGAACATATATAACACAGGCTTATCTGAACTTGGATGTTGTTAGTTAATTCCAGAGATGGGGGACCATGGAGACATTACTAGAAATAAATTAGGCAGGTAAAAAAACACACAGATTGCAGTGGCTTCGTGGTTATTTCAACTTACTTGGATGATGCAATGAAGCTGAACAGTAAAGCTTCACTCACAGCAGATCTGGAGTCTGTTGAGGATGTTAGAATGTTCAGATATGAATTCAGCCTGTAGAGGGCGCCACAGACCGGCTTGTCATCACGTTTCTTTGTTGTTGCTCTGCTCCCTGATGTGTTGTGAGCCAGGAATCACTACTGCAGCAGTGTGTGTGTACCCCTCTCGTGTGGCTGATGCTGTCAAATCACTGAAAGCAGCCAACTCCAGCCTTCCTGTTGCCTCAGGTAGGTCACCTGAAACCGAGCCACACATGTAGTCACCCTTTACTGCAGGGAATTGAATGCTGCACTTAAGTGAGTGTGTCTGTAGGGTGAAAAGTGAATGGGACTTGGGTACTTGAGTTTCACTGATAGTGTGTTCTTACTGGTCTCCCAGTGGCCACTGGTTTCCCAGCAGGCCAGACACCACTGGAGGCCCGCCTGCAGGAAGTCCGCATGGCGGTTGCTGACGGTGCCACAGAGATCGACATCGTCATCAACAGGATGCTTGCCCTCACAGGACAGTGGGAAGGTATGCTACATCCACATGGGGAGACAGATTTAGATGTTTTGCCATCGATGTGTTGCTCAGTTGTCATAGAACTGTCAACGTAGCATTTGATTGTGTCGAGCGTGTTTGAGACTGTCTGTCCATGATGGCTACATATTAAACAATTGGCCTTGACAGTCTGGTTCATTCTCGACCCTGGAAACGTTGACAAAACTCTATCGATTCAAACAACACTTGAAGCGTTTTGTTGTTCTGGAGCTGTCGACCATGTTGTCCAGTCTTTATTAGCAAATGAAGAAAATACAGAATAGTGGACCCTGAGTGGTCAAGTTTGTTTATGAAGCGTTCCTGTCTCTGTTTACAGCCATGTATGATGAGATCCGTCAGTTCCGGGAGGCCTGCGGTGACGCCCATATGAAGACCATCCTGGCTATTGGAGAGCTCGGCACATTCACCAACGTCTACAAGGCCAGCATGGTGGCCATGATGGCAGGTCAGTCCCACAGCTCAACCATGTGTGATGACATGTTTCATTATCTCTGTGATTTCAGTTCATTCTGTACTCAGTTTGTTCTGTACATCATATGTAGAAAATGTTCATAATGGTTGGTATGTCATGAAGTGCAGACATTTTGCTGAACAGGCTTCGTCTCTCTTTTATGTGAAAAGCTTACTGTCAGAATTTAACAAGCAAACAAACAAGAAAAAAAACCTTTTCAAAAATTTTATGAAACATTTTAAAAAATAATAATTTTGTGAGCAAGCACTGTGTCGTGGTGTCTAGCAGAAGCAAAAGCGTTATCTCCTGTAGAGTTAACGCTTTTACCTGAAGCCTGAACTTTTAGTTGCTGTCTTATAGTTTATTAATTTGTTTTACGTAATTTCAAGTCTTTCAAATAAATAAATCAAGCCAAATCATCTCTGATTGGCTTGCGAGTCACTTGTAGGACTGTGTTCTGTGGCTTTGTTCATGACAAAAGTGAGATTGTAGTGCGACTGTTTATTATGTTTGATAAATGTCAACGGGAAAGAGTATTTATAAAGTGCAGCTTGGAAGATGTAACTGTGTCGCATGTGAACGTTTGTCCATCTGGAGGTACATATGACATTTAGGCAGCAAACTGACATGTGGTCAGACTGTAGTGTGAATTGAACTGCTTGTGCATCTGCAAAGCACACAGACACAATGAATTAGCCTTAAAGTTGAACTCAGTAAAAGGCCGTTCAGTCAGTGGCTCTGCTGCTTAGCGTTTTCTTTTTAAAAAGGTGAATCTGATGAATGGAGCTCTGCCTCTGTCATGCAGACAAATTCTCTCTCTCTCTCTCTCACACACACACACACACACACACACACACACACACACACACACAGTATGCTTAACTAGCCATCACATAATAAGCCGATTACAGAACCAAATTGTCAGGGGCTCTGATAGAGATCATTATTAAAATGCATTGCTTTTGTCGCCACAGTCGCTCCTTAATCTCCCCTTGTTCCTATGAATTGCGTATGAGACTCCTAAAATTGAATGATAATTTCACCTATTAATCTCTAATGCAGGCTATTTTACTCTGCTGTTCCCTGCCAGTATCCCCTTGCCCTCGCAAATGAATAGAGCTTCATTACTACCACCCACATTTAATAACTGTTATCCATTATCTGGTAATTAAGACTCCCCATAACGAATCTTAAGGATTATGCCAGTTCGGGGAAGAGGGGAGAGAGGCTGAAAAAAAGACCTGAGTGGAAAAATACATAGAACATGTCTTTAATGAACTGGAAAATGTTCATCTTGTTCTGTTCAGTAATGAACTGTCATTATATACCAGCCAGGCAGAAGGCCTACTTTTTTTTTTTTTTTCCTTTCCTGCAGTCTCCAGTTTGTGGGCAATCTATTTAAGACCGTCATTTCATCTTCTATTTTTATCAGGAAAGCTGATAAAACATAATTGGTTATGAAGGAAGGGAAGGAAAAATGAAGGATTTTATTGATGAACATGCAGCTTCCTACCGTTAGCCATCAGCAGCAGCATATGTTCTTGTCTGGCGAGGCCGTGCTGTCACAGTTCTGTCCTCCATCGTCTATCCACACCCTCACATCCACGCTGCCTCTGCTTGCCTTCTGTAGCGGCTCATCTCAGGTGGAATCTTCCTGTGCTGACAGATGAATGATGAGTGCAACAAGAGAATATCTGCTAGACTTTGTTAAGCTACATATCACCTGTTTAAACCTGACAGGTTCAGACTTCATCAAGACGTCTACAGGAAAGGAGGCTGTCAATGCTACTTACCCTGTTGCCATAGTGATGGTGAGAGCCATCCGTGACTACTTCCTGTACACGGGCTACAAGGTAGTTTTTTTTTTTCCATTCTGACAATTTCCTGGTTGATGACGAGGGGAAGCTGTGAAGTGTAGATTAGTTGCACGGAGAAATTGTTTATTAATTCCATCCAGTGACCAGCAGTAGGGTTTGAAAGAGCAGGAACTTAAATCTGGTCAATGTCTGTGAGAACATGTAATATCTGCACTAACCTTCAATCAAGCACATGCAGTGGTGTCTTGAAATTTAGAAAATTGTCATGCAGTATACACACAGTCGTGTAAATGCGTTATACAACCTGCTAGGAATGTGTAAATAACCTGCGTGTATAAAGAGTCAAAGTTTAGCTGTACGACTTCATTCAGTCAATAATATATTTCAAATTTAGACAATTTCATTTTATTGTTTGAATAACACAGACATTGCCTTACTTACCTTGTTGAATGTTGTTAACAAGATAGGTGCTTAATATGCTGTTAAAAAAACGAACAAAAAACATTTCCATTTCTATTTGATCTTCTCAATCAAGCTGCTACAGTAAATCACACCCAGACCACCTTTTGTGATTGTGTGTTGTTAAATATTTATTTGGCTGCCTTTGCTATTTTTTTCTACATAGCAATTAAGTTTGTAAAGCAATCAAACCTTATCCATTGTAATTTTGGTTGAAGTGAGGCGTGTGTCTTATTTGCATGTGTTACTTCAGGTGGGCTTCAAGCCAGCAGGTGGGATCCGGACAGCTCAGGAGTCTCTGCTGTGGCTCACTCTGATCAAAGAGGAGCTTGGCATGGACTGGCTCTGCCCTCACCTGTTCCGTCTGGGTGCCAGTAGCCTGTTGGCGGACATCGAGAGGCAGGTGAGAACGCAACACCCTCAACATAGCGCCTACTGCGGTCCTTAATTTGTTTCCTGTACAGTGCTATGAAGACATATTTGCATTCCTACAGATGTCTTCAGATCATCAAACCAACTTGATATAAGACAAAAATGACCCAACGAAACAAAATACAGTTTTTAAATGATGGTTTCATTTATTGAAGGTTAAGTGCTGTCCAGCCACACCCAGCTTTATGTGGAAAAGTAACTGTCCCCTCAGCTACCAAGCTACTAAATGACCAAACTCATTTGGCTGTTGGGTTCAGTTTCACCAGCCACACCCTCATATGATTACTGCCAGGCTTGTTGAATCTAAACATCACTTAGATAGAACATGGTGGCTTTATGAAGTAGAGATTCAAGAAGAGATTTAAGAACACAGTGAAAGTCGCTGACACTCATCAGCCTGGGAAAGGTTACAAAGCCATTGCTAAGGCTCTGGGACTGTAGTGAACCACAGTGAGAGCCGTTATCCACAAATGGAGAAAACATGGACTAGTGGTGGACCTTCCCAGGAGTGGCCAGCCTAGCAAAATTTCTTCAAGAGCGCATAGACATCTCATCCAGGAGGTCATAAAAGAAACGACACCAACAGAACTGTAGGTCTCACTTGCCTCAGTTCAGGTCAGTCTACATGAGTCCAGGTAGACACTGGGCAAACATGGCATCCATGGTGGAGCTGCACTACTCCTGACCAAAAAGAACATAAAGGCTCATCTGGCATTTGCAAAAAACATCTGGATGAGACTTTTGGGAGAGCCTCCTGTGGACTGATGAGTCAAAGATGGAAGTCTTTCTAAGACACGGGTCCTGTTACATCTGGCGTAAAGCTAATACTGAATTCCACAAGAAGAACATGATACCAGCAGTGAAACATGGTGGTAGTGTGTTGGTTTGGGGCTGCTCTGCTTCCACCGGACCTGGACGACTTGTCGTAATTGATAGAATCATGAATTCTGCTCTCTATCAGAAAATCCTCCTGGAGAATATCCACCCATCAGTTCATGACCTAAAGCTCAAGTGTAAATGGGTTATGCAGCATGACATTGACTCAATGCACACAAGCAAGTCCACCTCTGAATGGCTCAAAAAGAACAAAATGAAGGTTTTGGAGACACTGAGTTAAGTCCGAATCCAATTGAGATGCTGTGGCAAGACCTGAAAAGGGCACTTCATGCTCGAAAACCACCATATTTTGGCCGAATTAGAACTATTGTGCAGACAAGAGTGGGCCAGAATTCATCCATGGTGATGTAAAAGACTGATCACAAGCCTTCACAAACATTATACTGCAGTTGTTGCTGCCAAGCTTGACCTAGCCAAATATTAGATATATGGGAGCAATAGGTGATATAGGGTTTCAATAAATCTATAATAAATTGTCATTTAAAAACTGCATTTTGTGTTTTGTGGGTTATCTCTGTCTTAATATCAAATATAAATATTAGTTTGGCGATCTGGAACATTTAAATGTGAGAAACCAGCAGATATATAAACATATATATATACCTTTTCCATGTGTTCTTGTCCCACAGATCTACCATCATGTGACTGGACAGTATGCAGCCTATCATGAGATGCCAATGGTCTGAAGTTACAGGCATCCTGTTTTGAGAATCAGAACCTCAGATTCACCACAGAAGCCTAAGTCAGTCAAGTCTGTGCTGATTTGTGCAGGACTCTGACACATCTGTTCTGTCAACCTTGTCACAGTGTTTATGGACATGATAAATCAGTAAATCATTGTGTTTGTCAGTCAGTGTGAAAGCAGTCAGTGTTCCAGAGGAATAACTAGTCATTTTCAGTTAATAAAATTGTGAGATGTTTTGTCCTTAGTTACATTTTAACTGTGGCTCTTTACAAAATAAATACATGTTGAATGGCCCCTGTTCTCTACAACTTTGTTCTTGCTAATAACTTAATGAAGAGGAACTGCATTGAGAATACTAACAGTATGTTCATGTGTAATTTGCTAAATGAAGACTGGAAATAATTTAGCACGATCAGAAAGCCACTGAGCTTCCATCACGTTTAGGAAGCATGTGGCTGATAGGACATACGTGATTCTGTAAATGCTGGTGAAGTCTTCAGCTTGCTGCAGTGATGTGTGTTTGAATGCGTTGCTGAGGTTTCCTTCACAACGGAACACCCACGATTAATCAGGCCTTAATGAGTTTATAAAATCTGATTGAATCGCTCACAGATTTTAGACCTTATTTGAAGATGGAAAACTTTCTTCTTTCTTTTCTTTTTAAATTATGACATCAGAGTTCTGATCTAACCGGAACTGAGGATAAACGAGTCAGTTAATGGCAAAGGGAAGCTATCGGGAGGAAATGGTCAGGTCCATAAATATTTGGACATGGACACAGTTTTCTCTGCTCTGTACACCACCACAATGGATTCGAAATGAAACGACCAAGATGTGCTTTGAGTTTACATCCAAATCAGGTGGTACAGGAATGAAAACAGATTATTTATGTGTCCTCTGCCTGTTTAAAGGACCAGAAGTAACTGGACAGACTCGTATCGTCATGAATCAAATTGTCATTTTTAGTATTTGGTTGCAAATCCTTTGAATGAAGTCCTGAACCCACAGACATCACCAGACGCTGGGTTTCATCCCTGCTGATGCTCTGCCAGGCCTCTACTGCTGCTGCCTTCAGTTCCTGCTGGTCTTGGGGCATTTTCCCTTTAGTTTTGTCCACGAGTCCATGTGGACTTCTGCAGCTGCTGATGTGCAGTTAAAAATTTATATCCCTTCCGTGTTTACGCTACCAGTGTAGTAATGTGGATGCTCAGCAGTGGTGTGTATCTGTGGAATCTATGCAGTAAATACATAGATGCTAACCCACTGCACATCTGTTCAGTTTAATTCAATTTTACTTGGAGAGTGCAGTTTACAACGTGTGTCATCACATAGTGCTTAACATGGTACGGCACAGACTTTACAAATTTAAACAGAGAACCCAACAATCCAAAGAAGCCTTTGGATTCCCTCTGAGCAAGCAGATGGCAACGGTGGGAATGAAGTAAAAGTTCACCAGTTGCTAATAGGAGAGTGCTTGTCTGGAGTACTATAGAGCAGGGATCTCCAACTCTGGTCCT